ATTACATTTCATCATGTCATTTACATCATGTCATCTACACATTGTCGTCTACATCATGTCCTCTGCATACATATATAATTGTGAATATAATAAACTTAAAGTGTCTACTTGCAGTGGAGTTTGTTGAAGAAGGCAAAGGCCAGAACGTTACAAAATTGTCAATAGAAAAAGAAATAAAGCCATTATTGCCCAAACACTTACATAGGTCCTTCAGATTTTAATATATTCCATTGAAAAACTTGTTGTCATGTCCTGTAAATCTAATCTAGGCCTCTAATTATGTCCATGGATACAATTATTCAGGCATGACTACAGTTACCGCGGTTTGCACAACTTTGCTTGAAAACTTCTCTAGGCTAACGCACAGACGGATACTTGGAACATAAGAATTGGCCTTTGTAAATCCTTTACAAACTATTCACGAACTAAAACAAAACCTTTTGAAAGGTTGCTGAGACATCATAGGGCCTAGAGTTATAAGAATGGTTAGAACACGAAATCCTAAACTAACAATACTTTCATCAGAGCGGTTTTGCGATTGAGTTCTTGTGGGTCGTTGACTTCCAGGGTATCAAGACAATTCATTTCTGTTATGGAGTCTTTACTGCCTGGAAACAAATTGTTTCCAGGTGAAAACATGCACTTTACCAGCAAGAATACCTTCTTTTGTATCCATTTTTACCTTTAGTATCCTACTGACAGAAAATTGTTCAAAGGTTTAGTTAATGATGTCAAAATTAATTTTTACTTCTGCATGTTCTATAGTAATGGGAATGAGAACATAACAGCCATTGCTTGCTAGTTCACCAAATGCTTGCTTAGGTTGCTAACTTGTAATATTTATATAGGTTACTGACTCGATAAATACGTGCTTTGGTTGTGTTGGAAAAAGTTAATGGTATCTTCTTTCGAGAGCGTTCCTTGTGACCTTGGCGCGTGTAAATTATAATTTCGTTAATTATTATGAAAAGGTCGTGGTCATCAAGGTTAGTCCTAGTAATATACTTCACAACAATCTGGCTTCTATATTAGCTTTTAAATTATTTCTTAAAATTTGGTTAAAAATTCTTTACGTGTGGAGCCAAGGTTCCTTTGCACGTTAGAATGATTGAACAGTATAATTTTACTACTTGTGGCCAGTCTTTAAAAAGCAATCCTGTTTTAACCTTCATTGTAAAAGCTCTAATATACTCTAAAAATATTTATGCAAATGGGAATATTCATGGATATTAGATGAGCATTCCTAATTCCCCGTTCGTACCGCAAATTACGTCATTTAGAACAAGATATCGAGGTTGCGGCAAAAAAAAAAACTTGATCAAGAAAGGTTAAGCACGTTTATTAAAGAGCTTTTGTATAGCGTAGTTCCTGTCAGTAAATATTGGTTTCGAAATCAAATTTGTGTCCATTAACCCAAGGATAGTGGGGGCTGTGGAATCGTCGCAAGCCATGTGAAATAATACGTTATACCCCTTGGCACTCGTAGCTATATGTTTTGAGATTTTGTCGTTTCCTATATACATAAATTTACGTAACAAATCAATGTGAGCACAGGTCAAATTTCTCGCAATTTTGACCCAACATGGCCTTTTAAGCAACTTCCATGCGCCTATCATAATTTCTTATTTAAAAGCGATCGATTAAATAAGGACGTTCATCCGCATGTTGGTGATAGTTACATTGTTTGGTTGATAACTTACTATTTGTTTATAGGAAATAAAAAAGAGAACATATTCGAACAGACAATCACTAGAGATAAGCGTGCGTAGTAGATTGTGTCCCTTGGTTTGAGACCTTATCTCCGATCTTCACTTTCACTTTTTGTGTTTGTTATAAATATTAATAATTAATATAGATGCAAGGAAGCCTGGTCATTCACATATACATGTTAAGTTCTATACACGAAAAAAACAATTTTAAAACTGCAGAACTGATGTTTTAATCAATATCAGAAAGATACTTTTAGATGAAATAAAATATGCTGATCATAATGAAAGATTGAGATAGAGTAACAACGGACAAATGTGTATTTAAACTATTTCCCAATTCTAAATATATAATAAGCACTATATATGGAAAGAGCCAATAAGAAAGGAAAATAATAAGCGCACTTGTGTCACTCTTTTTAAACAAGTGTAGATAAAACGGCATTATCATTAAAAATAAACACATTTTTACACAGGTAAAAAAAATGTTATTATAAAGAAGAAAATAAATTCAAACTTCTTGCAAGGAAGGTTTAAATCTATATTAGGTATTAAATTTCTCTTAAACAATATTAAATAAATTCGTAAGTTTTATATCATTTTGCAGAATGTGGTATCTGAATCTGCATCAAATACCCCGCGGCCACAATGTACACTTAAGTGTTTTTCATTTTTAGTGAAATATAATTTAAAAAATTGGTTTGGAGTTGTATAACTATTTTATGGTGCAAGGCATTTCCATTTCTCTCGCTTGTTCTTTAAATGTGATTAGGAGAATTAGGTTCGGATCCTGAGTCAAAGCTCTCACTTAAATGCTTGTTAAAAAAATAAAGCTCTTTATCTACTTTACTTTCACTGAAACCATTTGCCTTTAACACAGTATATGATAGTTCTAAAAATAGTGCAAATAGTTCAAGATAGTTAATGATATTCATTTAATGGAAGATCTCGTTTTTGTATCGCTATGCAAAATCATCGTCATCATCATCATCATCATCATCATCATCATCATCATCATCATCATCATCATCATCATCATCATCATCATCATCATCATCATCAGTCCTTTAGTCTGGTAGACATTTGGGGCACCGCACACGAACGAACAACCAGCTTCCTCCATTCCTCTCGATTTTCCGTCTTTCTCAGTGAGACGCTCGGTGTTAAGCATTTGCACTCTCTAATTCCTACCTCTTTCTGTCTGCCTCTTTTTCTTCTTCCTTGTACAGTGCCACGCAGGTTTGTCTTGACAAAACTTGATGATCGTGCTGCATGCTCATACCACTGCAGTTTACGTATTATCACTGTGGTCAGGAGGTCTTCGTGAGGCCCAATGGCTTGTCTGATCCTTAGCCGTATTTCTTCATTGGTGACAACATCTTTGTATGAGAAGCTAAGGATTTTTCGGAAGCATGTCATCTCTGTGGCCTGTATTATCTTCTCTAAGTCAGCTGTTATGGTCTAAAATTCACAGGCGTAGAGAAATATGGAGATCACTAGAGAGTGCATCAGCCTGACCTTTGAACTGAGTGCGATATTCTTGTCGTTCCAGATGGGCTTCAGTTTTGACAGCGCTGCTTATGTCTGCGCAATCCTGGATAGTATTTCAGGCTTCGATCCTTCATCTGTTGCAATTGCTCCCAAATACTTGAAGCTGTTGACTGATTCTAAATTCACACATTGGACCCTGATGTCAGAGCTTGTTCCCTTGTTGTTGATGGTTATCATTGTGGGCTTCTCTGCACTAATTGCCATGCCGTAGGCTGCAGAAGTTTTGTCCTGGCTCTCTTCTAAACTAACTAGTTATTGCCCATTTCCTGCTATTCCATCAATGTCGTCGGTAAAACCTAAGTTGGTGACTGTTCTGCCTCCGATGCTTAATGTCCTTTCATGTTTTACAAGCGTGTCAGCCATTATTCTCTCTAGAAAGATGTCGAATAGCATGGGAGTGAGCAGACAGCCTTGTTGCTGTATTAAAGGTGGTGATCAACGTGTCCATTTCTGTATTTTCTGCGTCGTGGATGATGAGCGATGCAAATTTCCCACCAATCATTGCCCGGAAGGCTTCTGCTACTTCGGGATCATTCAGTTTCTCGAGATCAAACTCTATTCTTGTGTGGCTCTTTTTTGGTGTCTGATCTACCTCTAACCTTCTTCAAATGTAGCCTGAAGGTTGTCATCACCAGATCGTGGTCACTTTTAATGTCAGCTCCGGAAAAGCTTTGAGTCTTGGCGATGTTTACGCCAGACTGTGCGCGCATTTATTACCATGATGCAGTCGATCTGACTGTGATGGTCTCTGCTTGGACTGTGCCATGTCAATTTTATTGATGCATTGTTTTGGCCAAAGGCGTTTGCCAGCATAAGGTCGTTGTAACTAGCGAATTGCAGGAGCCTCGGACCTCTCTCGTTGGTTTGTGCATTGAATTAGGGCCCACGTGTTCCTTTCTAGCTTATGCAAGCATCCTCGCCTATCTTGGCAAAACACGGGTATAAAACAAATTCAATATATATGCAAATCGGTGTGCATGTATATGTATATGTATATATATATATATATATATATATATATATATATATATATATATATATATATATATATATATATATATATATATATATATTCCCATTTAAGTAGAACTTATATAGGTATATACATTTGTATAGAAAATGTTATCTCACTTTTCTATACTTTGAGTACTGAAAATTCAAAAGTATATCGGCTGGCGATCATGATTAAACGGTAAGTCAGAGCCCCAATATGGACTGCTCAGAATATAAAGAATTTATCTGTACCAACACGATATGTTTTTGATATAGAGATCATACCTTTGATTTTGGGACTATTTACATTTCTTTGAGTTTTGGAGTATAAACATACCTTTGATTTTGAGGCTATTTGCATACATTTGACTTCGGGACAATGCACATACATTTGATTTTGGAACTATTAACATAGCTCTGCTTTTTAGACTATGTACATACTTTTGATTTTGGTATTATGCACATATATTTGAACTGACAAAATATGGGATAGTAGGTTTTCAGGAATAAAAGGATGATGCGGAAAGGTTTGGATTTGGATTTTTAACAAAGCTTTAACAATTTTTCAGTCATATCGCTACGATGTCTGCATTGTTGCAGTTTATAGTGACGTCTACCACTGGATCATCATGCCACAGACATATAGCATAATGTCCCACCCAGTCACATTATCCTGACACCAGGCGGATAAGTCTTAATGCTGAATACCAAGCTAGGCAGCTGTTAGTACCAGTTTTTAAGTCTTTGGAATGACTCGGCCGGGGATCGAACCCACAACCTCACGCATCCGAAGCGGACACTCTAACCACTAGGCCACCGGAGCGGTCGATAATGCGAAAGGCTCGCACGATTCATCGATATAATTTGTATATAAGTTAATTACTTTTTGCTCAGAAATGAAACACGCACACACACAAAGGTGAAATGACGTGTGCTGATAATATTTATATATCTGTTTTATATATCTGTTTTCAATGAAGCATGCCCTTAGGTTGTGTTTTGAAAGTCATTTTCAATCATGTGCAAAATGCAATGTCGTATCTTTTAGTCATAATGCTACACATGTTTGTACTCGTGTCATGTGAGAGATTCATATCCCACGCTAAAACCGGCCAAGGTCGATAAAATATCCAAAGATCCTAAAATGCAAGATACGTATATGAGGCTTTCAAGTCTCACACCAGCAGTGATTAGCTCGATTACTGAAATATGTGTATAATTAAGATCAGTTTTTGTGAGAAATAAAACCCAACAAATTCATACAAGATCTACAGCATCAAAATAGGATGGAAACCTCGAGATTTTCATAGACCTACATGCCGCAAATAAATGTGGTTAAGGTGTCTGATCCTTGAACAATTAAACTCCTTGCACAACCATTTTACTTGAACATTTTCAAAGATGTTCATATGAACAGGACATTTCTTGAAATAGCTATATAGGCAATGCATTAGTTGCCAATAGAAGACGACTTATCATACAGAAAACTTTTACCATCCACAAACATGGACTGTCTTACAATGTCATGTTAGTACTAAAAAGAAAGATGTTAGAGCTGATAGAGAGAGGCGATTTGAGTTCTGAGGAATATTTTATCAAGACACGTTTTCTTTGTAGTAGAACATAAAATCTCTAACATTAGATTCTTTCAACCATATAAATCAAACTATCAAGTACTCACGATGGTCTGATGTTGGCAAAAGAAGAAGACAGTCTTCCAGAATACCCTCTGGAAAATATGTAACTATTTAGGCAAGTAAATCAAAATAGATTTCTAAAATTTCGAGCACAAAACAGAGTTCATAACTACGAGCCTTTACTGCTATTTTATCGGTCGACGTGAGGTCGAGTCTCAGGCTCCGCTAATGTTGGTTTGTAAGAATGCTGCCAGTACTTTCCCGTCGTTAGGTGGCTCTTATCGGGTTCTACCTCTATCAGTTCTACTGGCCACCATATATAGACTGTCTTGTGCTGAGAAACAGCTTAAACCCCAAAACAACAACAACTGAGTCAAACATCAAGTTTTGTCGTGTTCTTTCCCTTATCGCTAAGAAGGGAAACTCTTGAAAGTTGCATCCTGTAGATAATTGATACATGGTGATTTTGTAACAGCAAAATGAAGGCACTGCAATTACTCCTGAGTTGCGACAAGATGAATCCATTTGTGATGATAATATTTAGAGCTGCATGAAAAGAGGACAGCGTATAATCAGTATATATATATGGCCATTACCGAGGCCAAAGCTAATGTCGGTTAAATCCGGAAAGGTCTATACGATGTAAGGTCGGTTAAATCCGGAAAGGGTGAAACGATCTAAGGTCGAAGGCGTTACATAATTTCTTGATTGCCCAAGAATCTCTAATTGGCTGATTCGTTTGGTCATATTAGAAAATAAAAGGTTGGAGATAATCAATAAAAGTTTACAGCTAAGAAAGATTCAGCGACTGCAAAGTAGTTTAACTGTGATTTCACGACTAAATTTAAACAAAAATATTCTAACCGAATAGGATGACGCCACTGTATTATTTATGTTAGAGACTTTTCCTTGATATGTCCACTTGTTCATATAGACCCTTGCATAAAGAATATTGTCAATATAGTGTTTTAAATATACCACCAAAGATAGAAGCCAAAGAAGAACAAAAGGTTCATTGAAGAATTAGAAATAATCCCATTCTTTTGATTGCAACTTGAATCTATCTTACCGACTCAATACATTATGATGTTGTTTTCACTAATTGTAAACAGACATCTCCTTTGGCCTAGTGGTTAGAGCGTCCCCCTCGGATGCGGGAGGTAGTGGGTTCTAACCCCGGCCGAATCATACCAAAGACTTTAAAAATGGTACCAACAGCTGCCTCGCTTGGCACTCAGCATTAAGAGGTTAGTGTTAGGACTCGTCGGACTCGTGTCAGGATAATGTGACTTAATATATATATATATATATATATATATATATATATATATATATATATATATATATATATATATATATATATATATATATATATATATCCGAATAATTTACCGTGCTTAACGTTTCAGACGACGAGCCCCATGACCCTTTACTCGTGTTTGCAGTAAATGTAGGTCTCATGGAGAAATCGAAATGCCACGAGGTTCATTATTTATTATATCCTTCACTTCAGTTACTTTTCATTCCCAGATACTTAATCATATAAGAAATGAGTCTTGACAATGCAATAGCTTGAAGAATTACTTGGTAAATTGCATAGAATTTGGATCTTTTACTTAGCCTTGTTTCCATGTGTTCAAGGCATATCGCGCTACATCTATGATTAGATTCTTCACTCATTTTCGGTTCTAATTATAGGGTTGGGTTTTTTTTGCTTTACCTAATTGGTGGAAAAAATGTGCATTCTGGGCCAATCAACCAGACTAAGAGATGTGCTTATTCGAAACATGTGCCTCTTGAATGACACGCCTTAAGCAACTTCGGCAAGGTTACTGATTCAATTGGAAATCGTCCAGCAAATTTTCTATTGATTGCAAACCTGTAACTTACAGAAGAATATCCAAAGTATATATCAGAACACAGTTGAACATGATGGAATGCAAAATGGTCCTGGATTTGAATAACTAATATAAAGACCCTTCATCAGACATGCATCATAATTACATAAAACTTAACCATTCTTTATTTAATTATTATACTTTCTTAAAAGTACAAGCATCTCATGAAATTACATGTAAATATTTGAATTCAGCAGTCTCTGTTTCCATTTTAGTTATTATCTAAGATAACGACATTTGTTTAGGTCATAATCACCGGTTAATACAAAATTTAAAAAAAATAACAAATTATTTGAGTTAGGTGCTTTACAACGTTAAATTTTGTCAATAATATGACTTAGATACTTTGCAGATGAACGACACTTTACTTTCTTTATTAGCTGTGTTCATTATAGACACATACATGTATATTGAAAATGTGCTTTAAAATATTTCAAATGCTGTTTGCCACCCACCATGATCCCCATCCCATCATTCAACAAAATATCATCCTAGAGTATAAAGTGACTATAATTACCTAGAATATCAAGTAAGACAATTACCTAGAATATCATGTAAAGACAATTACATAGAATATCATGTAAAGATAAATACTTAGAATATAATGTAAAGACAATTACCTAGAATATCATGTAAAGACAATTACCTAGAATATAAAGCAACTATTTTTTATTATCTATTATACACTTTCCTTTCAATGCAAATGTTAAATCTTCATTTTTCCTAAAGGAGGGGATGAAACAATTTGCATAAATGTAACACACATAGAAATAAGCTGATAAACTATAATTTTATAAAATGAATTATTTTTTATAAAATAAATTAACGCAAAGGTAATTTACTAGTTAAAATACAAAATATAAACCTCGTTATTTTAATAATGTGTCTTGTGCTGTTTCCTACAATAAAGACATGATAATGCAATTTATCCATAGTGTGAATGTTAATTATTTTAATAAAGTGAAACAAAATAAAAATATATTATATGCTTGTAATCAAACAAATAATACCAAAATCTTTATTGCATTGATTACAAATTCATCTCAAACTAATGCATGAATATTTAGATTAAGTAAAAACAATTTTGTTCTTTGAACTAGTGTCAGTCCTTTTTTGTCCATGTCCCAAGACACGCATAATCTCTCATCGTGATCTTGTTCATCATATTTTGTCTGGAAAGTTCCTCTAGAAGCGTGTAGCACTTTAGCTGCTAATAAATTTATAAATTTGGACCCAAATAAGGTTATCGCTCACTGTTCTTTCTCAGTGTTTAGGATTACTTTAATATTGTCTATTATTTCTTTCATTTTTTGTAAATAGTTATATATCTTAAGACAACAAATAAGACAGATGATACAATAAAGGACAAATAAATGAAAGAAAGCTAAAGATGTCGAATAGGTGAAGTTGAACAAAGCGAGGACCAGAGAATCATGTCCTGCAGAACTTATCAACAAAATGCAGGAATATTCCATATCCAATCGTGCTCTACAGAACATATTTATTGAGTAGAGGACACATATAGTATATACGTTTAGCAGAGGACACATACAGTATATTTTCTGAGTAGAAGACACATACAATATATACGTTGAGTAGAAGATACATACAGTATATTCTTTGAGTATAAGACACATACAATATATACGTTGAGTAGAGGAAACATACAGTATACAGGTTGAGTAGAAGACACATACATTATATTCGTTGAGTAGAAGACACATAGAGTATACACGTTGAGTAAAAGACACATACAGTGTAAACATTGAGTAGAAGACATATACAGTATATACGTTGAGTAGAAGACATGTACAGTATATACTTTGAGTAGAAGACACGTACAGTATATACGTTGAGTAGAAGACATATACAGTAAAAGACCTACCGGGTTCAAATCTTTAAATATTGATAGCACTAATTTATATTTTGGAAAAAGACATATGAATAACTTTTCAGACAAAATTTCCTAACTGCTAATGGAAAATGGATGTTTATGATAAATTTACCACAGAACTTCTGTTATGTTAAGCAGGTGGATTATTAGTTATTCTTTTGAATCTGTGAGGTAGAGGGTAAGTACATAAAAAAATCAGATTGTTTTAAAATTGTGATTTCTTTACAAACCCAATGACACAATTGTATGGTGAAGTGTACACATCAATAGGCACAGTCAGCTTGCATTGCCTTGGCTGGTCAAAAACAAGTTGAAAAAGAATTACAATCAAAAAACAAATTCTAACACCTGGCATGCTCATCAAGTTGAATGAACTCGGTCATACGCAATATACTATT